CCTCAAGCAGGAAGAATTTATTTTTGTGGGGTCTGTGACCAGAAAAATGGATCTCGGCATTTTTGCAAGCGATACCGTTGCAGGTTAGGTAGCTGTGGGGTTTTTCAGGATCACAGATTCAGATTGAAAATCAAATCACCAAGTACTTCCTCACTTAGTCTAAAATAATCTGGTATCTACTGTCTTTCAAGACTGCAACTCTGTCGTTGTACAAAAGTAAGCATTAAAGTATTTATGAAGCAACTGCTAAGTAGAGGTCTGTATGTAGTACTGGCACAAGCCACAGTGTGACAACATTACATTGCGTTTAAAATTTTAATTGCCTTAACTATTCAAGGTGTCTTCCTTTGATCTGGGTTTAAAAATCTCTTGTTAGACATTTACAGTTTCACTTCTGCTTTGTTTGCAAAATAAGCACCTGTGCTCATGTACACATTTCTGGTAGTTTTTTTTTTTTTTAGCTTTTATCCCACACCCCCTTTTTTTTGTTTTGTTTTGTTTAAGAGGTTCCAGCTTTAGAAAGGCAGCTGGAGTAAAGCAAAGGGTTCTGTCAGCCACAGGTTTTTGTAGTTTGAGTAGCTTGTGTCTTAATTTTGCAGTATTTTCTGACCTAATTGGGGCTTCCACTCTTTCTGTCTTGGATGAAGTAAGAGGGATTCCTATGTTCATTGAACCCTTGGCTCTCTTCAAAGATTTACATAAAACATTTTCAACTGCCTTTGGCTTTTATTTTAATTAATAAGTTAATTGGAACATCAAAAAGCCACCATTTCCTTTCATAAGCAACAGACATAGCTTTTAACCACAAAATTCTTAAAAAACCAATAGCTGTTAAATATGTTGGTTTTACCAATAAAACTGGTCAGAGGGCCTCAATTCTGTCTGACGGTAACTTTCGAGGACTGGAAAATGTGATTTCATATTGAAACACTGAGGAGGTTTCTGACGCAAGTCTTCCCTTCTCTCAATTCAAAAAGTCTGGAGCACCCCAACTTCAGAAACTTCCCACTTGCTTAGAGAAATCAGAATTAATGTATCTCTTGAAGACTTTTGTTTAGTCATACCGAGTCTTAAGCAGTTCAATTTTCTTTGATGGCTACAACAACAAATTTGGATCAATAGGTGGGGCATTTGCCAAAATTATGCCTGCTTCTTGTATCTGTATTCCTACAGCTGGGTGTAGAGCTTTGCCCTGCTCCCACCTCCTTTCACCAAATGGCCTGTGTCTTCCTCTCCCAACAAATTTTCAGCAGCAGTATGTGCACCAGGGCTGACGCGGGGGTGGTTTCCTGTTACACAGGTGTAAGACCTTGAGTTATGTACTTTACCACAGTTGAATTTTTTGAGGAAAGGAGGAACCTGCTGAAGTTCCCAGGCTCTCATTGCCCCTGCAGCTTGTAAGCCAGCCAGTGACCTACTGGGCTGCACACTTAAAAACTTTACTTGAACTGAATCTGTGCCTCTCTACCAAGGTGACGTCACAGGTCAGTATTTGAACTTTGGGAACACTGCTATGCTGCTGACTTCAACCTGGGCATGCTTTCTTAGGTGGTGCCGACACTGCGGACCATGTGGCAGCGTGGCCATCAGGCCATAGTCTCGTACGAAGAGGACATGGAAGTGGAGAAGCACTGTGAGCTGTGGCCTGCGATCCCATACTGGTGGGGAAACAAAACTGCCACTCGCGCCCTTATCCAGTATTTAGAGCACATGAAGCAGATGGGCCGTCCAGGTAAGCACAGCAAGTTGCTTGGAGGAAACAAGGGGCATGTACAGCAACGCAAAGCTCATCAGAAGTTGGGTGATCGTAGCATTACGGGATACAACCACTTTGCACCCATGTTACTTGGTGCTTTGCCCACCCATGGGCAAGTACAACATTCATCTTTGGTGGTGCAAATACACGCGTCAGTGTATGTACATGCATAGGCTATGGCAGCTGCTTCACTCACATGACCCCATGAAAAAGCAGCCCTCAGCACAGACCAGCTTGCTGTAGGTAGGAGACTGCTTCCTCAACCCAGTGCTTGCTGCTTTAGGCAGTGCTGATGACGAGGGAAACGCATTGGGCTCGCCTTGCTGAGAAGAGACCCCTGCAAGAATGGTGCGTGAAGGCTGTAGCTACGCCAGGAAATAGCAGCGCTCAATCATGCTGGTGTAGTCTAAGCTGAAAGAAATTTCGTTCATAACCTCCGATGCAGCGCTGTGATGTGTGTGCATGGGGTGATGAAGGGGAGAACTGCTTCAAAAGCACACTGCCCCCCCAAAGGAAAACGCCTGTGTAGGTGCACCCTGCGTACCTGTCCGTCATGGGGGAAGGCTAAGCATTTGGAAGCAACCCTAACAGAAACAAACGTAATTTATAAAGGAGGACTAGTTAGTGGAGAACCTTTAGTCTGCAATGAATAATTTAGATAAATTTAGCTAAACTGGAATGGTTCAATAACCAACCTTGGCTTAGTAACTATTTACTACAGCATGCAGTTGCATCAAGGGGAGACAGTCTACTGAAACAGCTCTACAGCTGTGAAATGATACAGAAAGAGTGTGAAGTTACTATTTTAATGATTCCCAGAGGAATGAGATCTGGTGTTAATGCAATGCTGAGCAGTTTCTGTTCTCCTCAAAGGAATATTTAATGTGTCACCTGATTTTTGTTTCAGAAAAATTCTTTGTAGCAGGGATTAACCTTACTGAAAATTTAAGGTATATTCTCGTACACCCATTTGGATCACTGAAGAAAATGACGCTCCAGAGTCTTCCATGCTTGAAAATCTGGATAAAGCAACAGTATCCAGGACCAAGGAAAGAATGTATTAACATCATTGCTGGAGACTTCATAGGAAATAATGATTTTGTCAAAGATGTGATAGAACTTAACACAAAAATTAATCCTTCATTACACTGTCAAAGTAAAGGGAACAAATAGCATTTCCTTCTCAGCTTCTTGATCTGTGAAAACCTGGAAAGGCTTTGTCTGCATTTAACGTCTCCTGGTTTAAACATCCTGGATCCCATAAAGGTCCAGCTAACTTAAATCAGGGATGTTTTAAAGACTCAGTAAGAAAAGCGCTCTCAACATCATCAGGGTTTCAAGGCCTTTTCACAGAAAAGAGAGCAGGCGGACCTTGCTAAAGTCTGTAGGGAACTATGATATAGGTATAATTTACTTGGAGATGCTTAGATTCTGCAGCAGTTGGCAATAGTGAAAGTCCCAAGAACTTGATCTTATTTTATTTTACATATGACAAGAAGGAGAAATACGTCAGTAGCTGCATGAATTATTTTGTGATAAGATTTTATCTTTCTTGTAATTGTAAAGATATTCTGCACTACTTGCAACCCCAATTCTCCGTCTTTTATATCAGTGTGAAACTGACTTGTCCATTTTCATAGTTTGTTAAATATACAAAAGGTACAGTTTAAAAATCTTTTCAATATATATCAAAGACACTGTATTGACAATCCTGTCTGACATGATTTTTATATATACATCAATACATCGTTAGCATTGGAGATCTAGAAGTGGCTGTACTGTTGTTGTGTGCCAAGTATCAGTTGTGAGCACCTTTACCAACAGGGTAGTCACAAAATTCTTTATGATTTCTAAGAGGTATGGGTATTTGAACACTTAACTCTTTTTTCATCACTCATGCCAGTTCTGCAGTGGTAAAGATATCAAAACTAGGCCCTAAACAGTTTGTCTGTGGTAATGAAATATGTTTTATTAGGTGCTGCCAAAATATGCCTTATATTGAAAATAAACACATATGAAACAAATTCCTTATCTAAACTCAGACTGCTCTAGAAATACAGATTCTTGGCTTCCGTAATGCTCATTTGGGTTTCACACTTGGTCTTTTATTTAGCTATTTTAGTAGTTCTGTAATTACTTTTCCTCTCAATAAGTAGTTTTTGCTTATGTAAAAACTAAGGGTTTTATGCTCTTTGCCACTGCATGTTAATCCTATTTTTCTAATTTTTTTAAATGAACTGTGCAGTAACAGATGATCATGAAGGTAAGAGAAATGGCAAGCATTGGGACTAAAACAAAACCAGGCATTGTGTAAAGTTCACTATGTAGCTTCATCAATATACCTCAATTTCTAGATGCACTTTATATGCAAAAGCTGAGTTCAAATGTTTTGGCAAGATGTTAATGTCTGCAGTAGGTGTCAACTGCTATTTGACATCAGTTCAAACTCAACCTGGACTTCTCAGCATGAAAGGCTAAGATGCTACCTCCTCATGCAATCTCTTGCAATTGCAGAATACATAGGAGTACAAACCAAAACATTCCATTTATAGAGAAGACATTCTAAATGCTTTTTTTTACAGTACTTTTAATCCTTGTTCATACCTCTATGTACTTCATACTAAGCAGTCATTCAGTTTTGATTTTTTTAGTCACTACCTGCATGAAGTGTTACGTTATATATACTCAGGATCTTTTTCTGCCTATCTTTTGTACCCTCAAGTGGCTTGTTTATCTAATAAAACTTGATCTCTCTGTGTAATATGGACTGAAATAGTTTTGCTTCTTCTTTCTGTCATATTGATTCTTTTATTGGTTCCCAGTAGTAATTTGTAACTCAAGTAATGCATCAGGGGTTTTTTTTTTTTTCCTTTGTGAAATAATTTCACAAAAAAATCCATGGTTTGCTGTACCTTAAATGTTTTCTCTAAAAACTGACACAGTAATAGGTATTGTGGATAAATTACTGTAGGCAAGAAAACTGTATGGGTAAAAGATGTTCACAGCTAACTTTATTTATTGCTTAATTATACAAATCTATGGGATTTTTTGCTTCACTGCAGTAAGACACGGCAATTATTTTACTTAGGTGCATGCATTCTGCTTGAATACCTTATTTATCTGTATTATTCATATACAAGCCATAACATTTTGTTCACTTTCATTTTCCAAGGACCATCTGAAACACCTTAACTATAGTTACTATTATTTTATTCTTAAAAATGGGGTAAAAAGATTTATTTAAGAAACTTGGTACTTTTCTGAAGGTTAATTCAGATGCCATCCAGTGATTTCCATGTGTTTGAGATCCACAGCTTATAGCGAACAACTGTTTTAACATTAAGAAGTTAGTGCTGTCCTTGCGCTTGCTGACAGAATCAAGCCCAAAGCTCTTACTGTTTCCAAACAGAAGTTTTCTGAAACTGTCCAGTTCTAAAATGCGTCAAAAACATCAACTGGAGAAGAAATACGCTCTTCAACACCTAGACTAACAGGTCATTAACTTCATTTCACATCCTCTTAATGAGATCAGTTTCTTTTCCTAGAAAAGGATGCAGTTTCATGGCATAAAAATCTTACTGTTGGGAAAGAGGTTTCTGTATCTGCCAAAAGCAGAATTGCTGATTATCACCTTCACCCGGGCTGTGCCATCTTCAGGCATGACTTCTACTTCCTGAACTGTTGCTTCTTTATAGAGCCAACTGTAAAAGTAAAAGCATATTAGCATCTTAAAGGCATGACATACTGCATAAAATGTGATCTTTGTTTTAGGTCAACATGGTCCAATCGAGGTAATTTAATACTTTAAAAGATTAAGTGCTTCACTTAACTTTTCATTTGCTACTTGCTGTCTGGAAATAGGGTACAGCATTTTCATAAACCTTTCAGATTTGTGTTTTTATCAGAAATCTGGGTTCCAGGACCAGTGGCATGGTCTTTCAGGAAGTATGTTTTATTGTACACAGAACTCTGAAGGACACTTTAAGAAGCAGACTCCAGGGTATCTAATGGGGATATTTTTTCTCAGTAAGTTAGAAAACTTTGATAATTATCCCTGTAATTCTTAACACAGATTAAAATCAGTCTATGATTTGGAAATTTTAAGACATGCAAAACTAAGAGTTTCATATTTCTCCAAGTCCTTCTTACAATTCAACATTATTTACCTTAGCTGAGGTCCCTCTAAGTTGATGTTAACTGTCAGAATCTTCTTCCCTGTTGCTGTCAAGATTTTTTTCTCTATTTCTTCTTTCAGCTCTTCTAAACCATGTCCATGTAGAGCAGAAATGGCTAAAGCATTTTCTTCAGTGGGTTTATATCTGAAAGGTTAACAATTGCTCGCACATTTGCTCCTGAAGATGAGGTTGTGAAAATATTCCAAGCACAGACAATTTAACTGTGCTACTTCATACTGGCACCTTCCTACAGAGGCCACTTCTTGTATGACTCAAGTGATTTCTTTTGTAATTAAAAGATAATTAATTCTTTTTAAGACCACTGTTACATATGTAAAAGATTGAGGAAACACTATTAAATGTATTCAGAAGTGTGGGAGCTCTTTTCTAGACTAAGAATTAAAAAGCTTCCAGAACACAAGAAATGTTTAAGTACACTTAGCATCTCCTGCTTACCTTTCTATCAAATCCACTTTGTTATGAACTTCTACCATTGAGTCCAATAAATGGCTGGGAAGATTAAGATTCTTCAGAACTGACAGAACGGTTGCTTTCTGGAGAATGGTTTCTGGATGAGTAATATCCCTCACATGAACTATCAGATCCTAGCAAGCAATATTGAATATATAAGAGTTACTGAAACATACCAGTTACCAGGTTGTAGAGATTTTATACTATTTTTGCATTGATAATTCATGTATCTCTCCTATCCGTTAGATAATACACTGGCAGGTTAACACTGTAAAATGAACTGCTAAAACAGTATTAAACCAATGCTGTTTTTTGCACCACGATGGAAGAAAAATCTGCAGCAGCTTAGTCTTCACTTGAGGATGAATTACCTCTAACAACTCTGAAACAAACCCTGTCAACCAAGCTAGTTACAGAATTCAGATTTCAATTAATAACTGACCCAATTTTTCAAAGCCAAGGCTGTATAACAGTAAGACTTCAAAAATACTAGAGAAGAAAAAGACTGAACTCTAAAAAGGTTTTAGAAGAGTAATGGCTGAAAAACTGTTTCAAAAATGGGGGAAAAACCCTATGTAACTTGTAATTCTATTCTTACATTCAAAATGCAGAAGATTATCCTTATCCTTAGTTCCTGACATACTATTACTGGTGCTTCACTTTTAGAAAGCTTTATACAAAAGTTATCAGTTTCAAGTACACGATCATGTTTGCCATGATAAAAACCAATAAACCTAATTCAGTATTTGCATTCAAAATGTTTTGTCATCTTTGCTCAAGATACTGCTTCAAACTTCTGAAAATGAGTAAGAAGTAAATTTCCTGCCTTTCATTTAACATTTCAGAATAAGAGACAAACAGGATAGTTGCAGACTTTTGAAAATCCTATTATCACATGGTGAAGTCTAGTCCTCAGAGGCATTTTGCTACCACTGAACTTCATTACCTTTGACAATACAGGCTTTTTGTTTAAGTATCTGTGTTTATGCAGCTTTATACTTTGCTATAACACAGGAAACTAACTTTAATGAGAAAATGACTGGAAAAGTACATTTATGTTTATTACATGCTGCCTGCATCACATCACAATCACCCACTTTTAGTGCTATAGGAAAACTTAAGTTAAAAACGGAACATTCCAGAGACTTTAATTCATTTTTAACTCTCAAGAAAGCTAGCCTCAACTTATTCGGATGCACTATTTAGGTTTAGTCAACTACTTACTGAGTAAGCCACTTCTTCTAACGTAGCCGAAAAGGACTCAACCAGATTATGTGGAAGATCAGTCAGAAAGCCAATGGTGTCAACATAAATAACTGCCATATGTGAGGGCAGATAGCCAGCATGGGCTGTAATATCAAGAGTGGCAAACAGCTGATCTCTGGGTTGAAGTCCTGCTTCGCCAGTCAAAGCTTTGATCAAAGTAGTTTTTCCTAATTAAAGAAAAAAAGGACAAGACTTTAATGGCTTGTTTCAAGCAGAAATTTAATTTGAAAGGCTCAGGTGAGTTAGATATGAAAAGATATGTTACATCATACAACTCACTAATTTAAATCTAGCCTATGATTAGTTATCTACATGATGTTAGGAAATTCAAAGACAGTCTTAACTTTTATAACTTGGAATTGGATTTAAGACCATGTCTGGAAGCTATGCTGCGAAATCACAAGATGATCAAAGACTGAACTGACCTGCGAAACGACCTACCCACATCTCTCACACCTCTAAGACTATCTGAAGAGCACTGCCACGACAGCATTAGGAAGCATACACTTATGCACTCCTCAGTGCTTCTGTTGTCAAATAAAACAATTCAATATTTATTTGTTAAATCCAACAATAAACAGAAGCACTAATAACACGTAGCTTATTAGGTTTATGTTTTTATTGGGCATTTCCTCATGAACATTACACTAGAGACATTTATTTAACTTAATGAATATTTCACAGAATTCAGTCATTAAACTAAAGTGCTCAGTGTATACCCTAGTTAAAGTATTTCAGTTATGTGTACATAATTGTAATATATATATAATTTTGTTGAATCTTCCGTTTTAGAAGTATGGAAGTATCACAGTTAAGAAAAAGACACAGTGTAATACAAATCTTTGAGTATATAACTGAAAACAAAATTAGTGCAAGGGAAGTTTGTTTTTATAAAGATGTTGAATAAGAAAATGAAATGGTCTTAAGATAATGTAACCTGAAAAAAGTGTCTAGTCCAAAGTGTATTTATGCCTTGTGTATGAATTCACTTGTGTAAGCTATAAATAAAAGAACAGAAAAACCCTTTAGCTTTATTTAGATTCTCTTATGAACACATATCAGAACACTATACATCAATCAATGAAAAGCTACAGTGCTTACTAAGCACATTTCTCAGATCAACTGCCAACTCTCCTGAATTTTCCTCCTATGCCTCAAGCCTTCACAGTGATCTAAACACCCATGTACTTTTCTCTACCCCTTCTGATCAAGTAATAGAGATTTGTATGAAGGGCCACTAACAGTACAGTCTACAGCACTATATATAAAATCTTTTTGGCACGATAGGTGCTAGGCATTTCTCCAAACCATGTCTTCAAGACATGGGGCGGGGGGGGGAGGGAAGGGGGGCGGGAATCTAACTACAACAAGCATAATTTGCTTTCCTAACTATATCCTAATTGACACATATTCATTACACAATTTAAAAACTAATTAAAATACGAAGCCTATTCACACTGAAATGAGATTCCGGCTAGAGTTTCTAATTAAAAATTAGACAATGTAAGCTCTTTCGTGTTGCAATTTCACGAGTTTTTGCTTACCACAATTAGTATAGCCCATTACTGAGATAATAGGAAACTCGCGTTTTCTGCGCTGAGTTCTAAGTAAAGACCTTTTTCTTCTTAGTTTCTCCAGGGCATTCCTAATTTTAAGTTCTTTTTCTTTCAAGATACGATTCTGTGTCTCCATGAATGTTTCACCTGAAAAATACAAATGAATAATTGGCAGAATAGTCTACAAGAGAAACAGTAAACCCAGTGATGTTGTGCATTGGGAAATCAAGTGAGTTAGCACTAGGGCATATGAAGTTATAAATCAGCAACTAAAACTATGAACTGTTGCCTAAGAGTCAAAGTGATAAGTAATTATTAAAACATATGCTAAGCACTCTAGAATAACCAAGTACACTTATGATAAACCCCTGTGGCTGCAAATAATCTGTCCACGGCCACTTACTGAGCCAGTACAGACCAAAACTTTACTATTTCTTTCCAATAAATTTTTGTACGTTCACTGAATTAGATGCAGAACACAAACAGTTTTTCCTTCCAGCCTCCTCCAGATAAAATAAGATGCAATTAAATTTGTTTAAAAGCTATGGAGAAAAAAACCCCTCTAATTCATGAGAACTTTACCTGAGCCCATGATGTATCTTGAGCCACCTCTCTGCTGATCTAGCCAAGACACATCATTTTTCAGATTTGACCTGGCAGTGGAATAACAGTTAATTAGAAGCAATTTTCTTTAATCAAGCTATCCTAAAATGCATAACAAATGTGAAGCAGTAGCGATATTCTAATAGTACAGATAAAACCACTAAATGACAGAGCTCTAAATAAAACCACCTTATGGCAAGAAGCCTGGCGAAAAAAATCCAGATTTTCCCGACTCGTTAACTGTGGTTTGAAAAAGCATGCAACTCTCTTAGCAAATTATAATGGCTATTCTGAAATTTCAGAGAACCAAAGATGCCTCTGATACATCCAACACAGCTCACGCCAACTGCCATGTACAAATATTTCTATGCCACGTAATGTAGAAATGTCGAAAATTCAGACACAAATTAATGCCTTTAATCCTCCTTGTTTATAGCTTTCCTTATTAAACCCATCAATATTATATATGGGATACACATATCCAATTCCTACATATTCTTGCAATTAACCTGCCGCATTAGAAAGAACCGGGATCTTTTAATGAGAAATATATTTTGTAAGATTATCTATTGAACACTTTCTGGTTTTGCCTGTCAGCACTGCAGAAGCTTAAAACAATGACATTATAGCAAATATTTCTATGCTCTAATCAATCATTGAGCATACTATGCAAGCACTGAAACAGTGTCATTTTCCTCTACAGTACAGTATTACCATTTTTGTTACTGTAAAGAAATAGTCACTACAATATGTAAGTAACAGTATGTGATTTGCACAGCTTGAGGTACCTGAGAAGTGGAATTTCAGCCAATGCTATCTGAAGTTTTGCTTCTTTGGTCCGGGCATTACAACGAAAAATGTGAAGTACAACTGTGTATCTGTCAAAGACTTTCACGCCCCAGGCATCTTCTAGTTCTTTCTTTAGCCATGTAAGACAAAATAACCTAGATGTTTTCTGTCCCCCTCAGTATCAGTAGATCAATTCTTACACAGCACTACAGTTATAGTTAGCTGATAGACACCTGAACACAGAGGATCTCAGGATTCCATTTCAATGGATGGGCAATGCTTATGAGCACTTTCTTGAATCAACCCTGTTAAATTGCTCTTAAGATCTAGATTTGTGAAAAGAATTTTTTTTTTAAACAAATCTAGTACTAAAAGAACTCATACTATAGATTAGGGAATAAAAACTAGGAAATTGCAATGAAACATTTTCAACTTCCATTTCACCAATAAACTGAAGTGCTCGAGGTAACTATCTCTTAGAGATACTTACATCTCTGTTCGCTTTATAATCAGGGAAAGCATTCAAAACTACCAGCAAAGCATTAATGTTTGCTTGCAGAGTTTGCATGCGCTTTACACCCTGCATGATGCTGTACATGCAAAAACCCTAAAAGTATTTATTTCAGTTTGTCTGAGCATTTCAAAGAGCATCTATAGTTCATGCACCAGTTGTTTTACTGCCAGTGTTAAAAAACAGTGAAGCATGCTCCTCCCCTCAACGTAATCCATCCATTTAAAATACGGGACTTTTTTAAGGGTTAGGAATGAAAGTTCAAATATTCAAAATATAACCTTGCTCTGAATTTACACCTCATATTCAAAACACAATACAGCATCCACAGAACTATAGGAAAACAAATACACTATCCACATAGATATAGAAACCTGTGCATATTGCTAATCCAAAATGTTGACATTCTTCATAACGAAAGCTGGGTTATCATCTTCATTTTGTGAAAAAGACCTTGAGTAACTTTTCCAACATTTGAAACAGGGCCAGTGGCAAATGTGGGAGCAGAGTCTATACTAAATAGCTATTAGGCTGCTGGAAAATTTCATGCATCAGAGCTGGAAACACATATATCAACTGGACAAATGTAATAGCAATTAAATTTCCTTTCAACAAAACTCAGTCCAGGTGGCTTCATATATTACCGTTTGCAAATTCAGTCATAACTCACCCTACTTCTCATAACATCAATAGCTTCCGAACAATACTGATGTAAAGAGTATGATTTGATATTATATTACCTTTGTTAGTGAAGATATTCTTTCCACATTCAAGAAGACAGCTGTCACATGGGGCAATTTTTTAATCTTTTCTAAAAGATGGATAACCATTGCAAAACACAGTGTTAAATGTCAATTCTCTTTTTAAAACACACAGAATATAAAACCATTTTATGTTGAGCAGAATGCTCATATTAAATGGCACCATATCCTTCGTTCACAGAACAGTTGTAATTGCACTAATTTAGTACTATGTCAAGAACAGCTGCCAGTTTCACTTATGCCAATCACATAAACGTAGGGATTAAGTTGCTTCACACATTTTCAGTGAGCATAGGTTATTTCTATTCTGTGCTGCTTTTGTAACCTTAAAAAAATTCTTTGAAGTTTGCTTGCAAACCTACATGATGGATAAACAAAATTCTCCCTCTCTTCACCTTTCAATACCCATCCTTAAACAGTTCAGCTGCAGAAGTCTTCCATTTAGAATGAGCAGCGCTGAAAAATCTCAGTCCTTACCTGTCAACGCCTGAAAGTTTCCTTTGCCAAAAATAAACTTCTTGTCAGGATTTTTTGTAGGAATAATTATTTTCTCTAAAACCGTCCAGTTCTGAAGGGTATCTATAAGAGCAACGGCTTCAGCAATCTGTAATTCAGCTTTAGGAACACACACACAATAAAAAAAAAGAAAGAAAAAGGAAAAAAGATTACAATATACCATCATAACTTTGCTCAGATTTCCAATAACTACAGTATGCGCATGAACAGCAACAGACTAAGCTACACTGAAATTCTACTAGGGTATTTATTTTAGCCTCTAGCACAAGGAGCAAAATGTCTTACCTCTAATCAGAGTAATCAAACTTCTAGTTTGATGCAACTTTATCACACAAAGCATCTTTCTGCCTGTACAAATTATTTCCATGGTTGTTGATTTAGAAGAATTTTAAATTGTATTGTCAGCAAAGAAATTACCAAGTTTTTTGCCTCAAGAAGTGAAATGAATAACTAGCTGGAAAACAAATTCTGTTATTTCAGATGAGCACAAACCCATGTGATTAATTCCTTGGTGTTTTGCAGCAATATTTAAAGAATTACTAATACAGCATATCCTGCTGCTAACTTCACTGCTACTTATTCATAAAGGACCTACACTGATTTATGACCTGCTAAAAGCAGCAGATTCCAATCCTGTATTCTGGTTCATCAGTCACTTTTTAAAAAAAAAAAAATTTAGATTTTTTTAAAAACATCTAAAAAAATTGGCAAAGCACTCATTTTTTGAGGACTTTGTGATATCACAAAGACTACACAGGTATATCAGATCAGTAGATTGTTTTGATTTGCCAATCTTTTCCTCTTTTCTTAACAGATTTGTCAAGTTTCTCTAGATAGCAAAATGTAATTTGTATATTAAATAGGTTACCTTGGTCCAAAAGGCAATGTATTTTTTAAAGATAACCATGATCCTCTTTCTCCTCATACTGTTAGTGTTCCTTGTAAAATGCACAGATTTCCTGCTGTACCTGTGGTGTTTCAACAATCATTCCACACCATTTGTTCAGACTTCAGGCTCTTCATCTGGAGGGCCTAAATAAATGGAAAGGTATCACCGCTATTCTTCTGTATGTCTGGACAGAAAGGTGCTTTCATATTTTATTTATTTTTCAGTTGTAAAATGGGAGTGGTTATGTAAATTCTGCAACGTGACAATTTGTTATAATTAGCAGCACTAATAAAACTAAATGAGATTTAGGTTCATGACATAATAAATTTGAACACAAGAATATGTGTCATGTATGAACTGCCTCTATGTAAAAAGCTAACTTACAAGATGCTTAATCCTTTCTATTACAACTTTGCAATTAGAGAAGTGTTGGGAGAAGCATCGAGTCAAGTTCATCATATATCTTAACTGTGCCCGATTAATGCCTATTAACTAGCTACAAGGATTTCTGAGAGAAATCTAAGAGCAGCAATGCGAAATAAGGTCATTACAGAGGAATTACTGGTGACTGTGTGGCTAGGTAACTGCACAAAAGCACTTCTTTCCTTGTAGAGGAATTACTGGCGACTGCGTGGCTAGGTAACTGCACAAAAGCACTTCTTTAAGCCCGGGAGAGGACTTACACAAGACCGCGTTTTCGCCGCGCCCTCTCCCACGGACAGGGCAGTACTCCTGCTCTTCAGCCGAGCTCTGGGCAGCCCTCAGGCCGAAGGACTGCCGCCCGCCCGGGGGCTGCGGGCTACTCGCGTCCTGCTAACGGCGGGGAACCCCGGCTGTCCCCTCGGGCAGCCCGTCCCTCTCCGCACCGAGCCGCTGGGCCGCCGGAGCCCCGCCGCGGGCGCGATTCGCGAGCGAAAGCACAGCTCGGCCGAATCGCGTCCTCCTTCAAAACGTTCCCGCAGAGGGAAACGGCGACCCACACCTCTGGCCCGAGTTCGTCTTTCGCTCGTCGGCCCGGGCAACGTTTCGCAGCTCTACCGCCGCGATAACGGGCCTACTCCACGCTACCGGCACCACTTCCCTACGGGTATTCCCGCGGGCCGAAGAGCACTGGAACGGGGGGCGGGGAGCAGAACCGAGGCGGCCGAGGGCAGCGGGAGAGCGGCGCTGCCCGCCGGGACCCGCGGGGGGATAAGCGGCCCGACCCGCCCCCCCCCGCCGCGGCGCGGCCACGCACCCCTGGTGAGCGGCGGCTTCTTCGGGCCCCACTTGACAGCCGGGTGCACCACGGCGACGCGCTGCGCGCCGGGCTCCACGGCCAGCGGAGAGGGGCCCAGCAGCTCCTCCAGCTCCGCCTCCTCCTCCTCCTCCTCCTCTTCGTCTTCTTCATCCCCGCCGG